CTAGTAGTTCCCATTGATTTAGCTTGGAAAGCGGGGAGAATGGCGCTAGGCTTACCGCACCGTGACGTCACTGCTGGAAGATGGCAGGAGGGAGGGGCTACTATATTTGGGCAAAAATGGCCGCTCCCGGACTCGGTGATTGCCATGAAAAATATTTTACTTTTTTTACTGATTAACGCTAAATTAATTAAATCACAGGAGACGTATTAGTTTCAGGTAAAAATAATGCTCCATTAATTATTCCTTGCTGACTTTTCCTTTAAAAACCTGCTCAGGTAAAAGGATCTCTGGTTATTTGGGCTATTTCTGTTTTCACTTCTTCAAATGCTGTGAAAAATTTAAATAATGTATGTGGAAGAAAATTACACTACACCCCCAGTCCAGCAGGTGGCAGTAAAAGGAAAGCAAATTCATGGCTGGCAGCTGTGTTATTCTGTCCTTTCCTGCTGTAACAGAACCACTGTGTTATTTTCTATTTTTGTATAAAGTACATTAAAGTGTGCCGATAACAAACTGTCCTGTAGAACAGTTAGTTCATTGGTAATATTATTTCAAATCTCCACTGGTTAAAAATGATGATGGGAATTAATATGCTGGGTTATTTTGGTGAGGAGAAATTTCTTAGTAAAAAGGGGCGTGTCCGTCGGCGCGCGGCCTGACCAGAGAGGAAGACGCGCTCTGACAGGTCTGTGCAGCGGGAGTGTTTGTCTGGTTGCCTGTTAAAAACAAGTCAAAAAATAAAGGAAGAAAGATAAAACAGTCAAAGATTGTCCCAGCGCTGCAGATCAGCCATGGACTGAAGGGAGTTTGCACCCAGAGGACGCCGCCCGGTGACAGAGGCGGAGCCAGAAATGTTTATAAGGGTGGCCAGGCGATAACCAACGTACACTGAGGGGGGGCCAGGCACCAGAACCCCAGGGTCAGTCTATAATGTTCCAACAGGAAAATTAAAGAGCAGAACACCCATATTTTCTAAATAAAGACTAACTATACTTTCCTACAGCATTTAACAAATAGATGCATATATTTAAACATCCATAATTTCTAGATAAAAGGTATAGTTTTCTGTATTCTGGGGCGTAAATCTTTTCCATCGTCATTACTCACCTACTTGTATCAATAAACATTCTACATAAAATTACCGTATTTTCACGACTATAAGGCGCACATAAACGTCTTTTTTTTCCCTAAAAATGTGCGGTTTGCCTTTCGTGCGGTGCGCCCTATGTGTGTTGCAACTGCGACTTTTGAGACCACCTCATTGAGGAGATGATGAAAGAGTGGCTGAATGTAAGGAGACCAGGTGTTTTTTTCCACGCATCACCATCACTGTTAATCTGTGACTGCGTGCCCATCTCACAGCTGATGTGTTTTGAGCAGCAGGCGCAGCGCGTCGGGAGCGTTTAAGCATCTGATTCGCCGCCAACGCGCTGCTGCTGCTCCAGATGGAAAAATTGAAGTTTTGCTGCTGGACGCACCGCATCAACCAATCAGAGAAGCTGATCTGGGAGCTGACAGCGAGACAGGCAGCGCTCTGATGACATATGATATTAACGCAAATGAAAAGGGCTGGATGGATGAGGAGATGATGAAAGAGTGGGTGAATGTAAGGAGACCAGGTGTTTTTTTTCCACGCATCACCATCGCTGTTAATCTGTGACTGCGTGCCCATCTCACAGC